AGACAGGGTTTCTCTGTGTAGCTCTGGCTGCCCTGGAACTCACTCTGTAGCCCAGGCTGGCCTCAAACTCCCAGAGATCCACCTGCCTCTGCCTCCCAAGTGCTGGGATTAAAGGCATGAGCCACCACTGCCCAGCCCGCTGATGATTTTTAAGATTATGTTACAAGCAGTCTGCTCCTATTTAGTTTGTGGTTGATCTGAACTCCTAGATCTTTTCATACAAACTTCTGCATAGGTCATTTCCTCCCCTCTGCTTCTGGCACCTCTGCGACTGGGTGAAAATGAGTCAAACAGGCTGGGCATGGTGGCTTCTGCCTGGAATCCCAGCACTCAGTTAGTTTAAGGCTGTCTTCTGCTACACACTAAGTTTGACCCCAGTCTGGAACACATGAAACCTTGTATAAATAAATATAATAAATGTAAATAAATGTAAACGTGAGACACCATGTGGGTGCTCATTGTTTTTGTTGCTATTGTTTGTTCATTGTCTTTTTTTGTTGTTTTGTTTTTGTTTTCGGAGCTGAGGACTGAACCCAGGGCCTTGCACTTGTTAAGCAAGCGCTCTACCACTGAGCTAAATCCCCAACCCCTGTTCATCGTCTTTGTTTTCCCCTTGTGTGTGGAGGCCAGAGATCAACGTTGGGACTTTGCGTATCTTCTTCCTCAGTCACTCTCCACACCCCTGTTTTTGTGATGTTTTAGCTTTTAAGTTTTATTTTCTGTGTCTGAGTATTTTACCTGCTCACGTGTATATATGTCCCTGCCTGGGGCCCACAGCGTCAGAACACAGCATCCCTGGAACTGGAGTTGTGGATGTCTATGAGCCCTTGTGAGAGTACTGGGAATTGAACCGACTTGGCACATCTGTCTATTTTTAAACAAAGGCCATGCCTGGGTCCGTCTCCACATTTTACAACCTGTTCGTTTTAAGTTACAACCTGTTCGTTTTAAGGCTTTCAGACACACAACCTTGTCTTGACTGTAGGCCACTCATTAGGTGATCTAGGCTGTTAGTAATTTTCTGCTCTAAACTTCTAGCTGGGGTGGGCACATGGCTAGACTGCCAGCATGGCCCAGTGTCCTCTGTCTATCTGGACCTGGACCTAAGCTGACTCAAGAAACTTTTATTTTTAAAAAGAACCATCAGATTTTATTCCTTATGATCAGCACTGATGATTTTGTCTTGGTAGGCAAGGAAAATGCTGAATGGGGCAAGAGTCTTGTGTGATAATGCTCCAGCCGCAGCCCTCTGAGCAGGTCGGGGAATCTGTCAGTCCCTCAGACCTTTGTAGAGTTTATCACAACAGAGCCGGGAGACAGCAGAGGGCTGAAGCATGAGGACCTGAGTTCAACCCCCAGAAGCCACACACAGTACCAGCCATGGTC